AAAAAAAAAAAAAAGTGTGGTCACTACCATTCTACCAGACAGCATTACAAAGAGGTACTGCTAAGATGTTTCCATTCTGAGATCTTAGAATCTTGTAATTACCTTACCGGCCCCCACCCCCATACTTTTCCTTCCACTTGGGCTCTTCCTGGAAAGTAAACTTCTGTGACTTTTCTTCCCAGTTTACCAATTGTGCTGCCAATCCTCCCACGATTCGTTTCCTTCGAGTATGCGTGCTCTCTTTAACTCCACAGGATAGCTTAGGTAAAAATGATTTTATACGTTTTCTTTCTTCAAGAAAGGAAGAGAGTGTATCATTATTAATTTGAATGCACTGCCTTATGGACAGATACTTTTGATTATTCCACAAAAAATAGAACAGAGTCACAGTTAATACAAAATGGTCTGATACATAAGTAGATTATTTAGGATGCTAAACTGTACTATTCACCTTTAAAAATATTTCGGCTTAGTGATAAAATTGGCTTGATTCTTGGAAATTCCGCCTAAAGGCAAATCCGTGGTTAAAAGAGAGTGACTGAAGAGGTAAACATTTACCAGCGTCCTGGTGTGGTGCTGTAGGATCAGCACTGGATTGCTAACCACAAGGTCTGTGGTCCAAACCCACCCGCTGCTCCTTGGAAGCCCTATACAGGGTCACTATGAGTCAGAACGGACTCAGCATCACTTAGTAACAGCTGATGAATGCTATCACATGTCTAGACATTACTATGGACTTCTGGTGTGGCATTGTCGGTTAATGCAGTAAACTGCAACGTTGGTTTGGGTCGTTAAGGCTGGCAGTTCCAACTCACCAGCTGCTCCTTGGAAAACCTATACAGGGTCGCTATGAGTCGCATGCTGACTCAATGGCACTTAGCAACAGCAACAGGCATTACTACAGTGATGATGTTGTAGTTAAGTGCCATCTGATTTATAGTTACCCTGTTTAGGGTTTCCAAGCAGCAGCTGATGGGCTGGTGGGTTTGAACTGCTGACCTTTGGTAGGCAGTCCAGTTCTTTTCTTAAAGCAACACACAGTGACATGGTGGGGTCATATTCTGAAATCATCATATTTAAGTTGATATGAAGAACTGCATCTTCTCACCTTCATGATTTTTATTTTGCAGAGACTGTTTACGTGAGAATCTTTTCAATGATGATAATATTAACATTCATGATGTTGATACTGACTCTTTTCTATGTGTCAGGCTCCATACTGAGTATGTTTTACATTGTTTATTCAGTTAATCATATCAGGCCTGAGAGATTTTGTGCCAGGGATTCCTTGGTACCATGCTGACAATGTTCCTTTCCACCATGATTGTTCACATATAGCATGTTTATCACCATGAAAATTTGGTAGAGCAAAGCTTAAGACATGTAGTTATAAAATAAATCACAACAATGGACTTATGTATTTCACCAGGTCCAGAACATGCTCACAGAGTCATTGTACCAAAAGGAAATGGTTAATGTTCAACCATTTCAAGAGATACCATATGAACAAGAGCCAATGATACTCAGAGAGGAAGTCCAAA